CTGCATGGCGGACAGCGCGCCGCTCCACGCCACGGAGAGATACACGCGAAGCTAAGGCGTGTCGGTGGGTCGCGGGTTACCGTCGAGCTGGTCGCGGTCGGCGGCGCTGACGGTGGCGTAGTACTGCATGGCGGACAGCGCGCCGCTCCACGCCACGGAGAGATACACGCGAAGCTAAGGCGTGTCGGTGGGTCGCGGGTTACCGTCGAGCTGGTCGCGGTCGGCGGCGCTGACGGTGGCGTAGTACTGCATGGCGGACAGCGCGCCGCTCCACGCCACGGAGAGATACACGCGAAGCTAAGGCGTGTCGGTGGGTCGCGGGTTACCGTCGAGCTGGTCGCGGTCGGCGGCGCTGACGGTGGCGTAGTACTGCATGGCGGACAGCGCGCCGCTCCACGCCACGGAGAGATACACGCGAAGCTAAGGCGTGTCGGTGGGTCGCGGGTTACCGTCGAGCTGGTCGCGGTCGGCGGCGCTGACGGTGGCGTAGTACTGCATGGCGGACAGCGCGCCGCTCCACGCCACGGAGAGATACACGCGAAGCTAAGGCGTGTCGGTGGGTCGCGGGTTACCGTCGAGCTGGTCGCGGTCGGCGGCGCTGACGGTGGCGTAGTACTGCATGGCGGACAGCGCGCCGCTCCACGCCACGGAGAGATACACGCGAAGCTAAGGCGTGTCGGTGGGTCGCGGGTTACCGTCGAGCTGGTCGCGGTCGGCGGCGCTGACGGTGGCGTAGTACTGCATGGCGGACAGCGCGCCGCTCCACGCCACGGAGAGATACACGCGAAGCTAAGGCGTGTCGGTGGGTCGCGGGTTACCGTCGAGCTGGTCGCGGTCGGCGGCGCTGACGGTGGCGTAGTACTGCATGGCGGACAGCGCGCCGCTCCACGCCACGGAGAGATACACGCGAAGCTAAGGCGTGTCGGTGGGTCGCGGGTTACCGTCGAGCTGGTCGCGGTCGGCGGCGCTGACGGTGGCGTAGTACTGCATGGCGGACAGCGCGCCGCTCCACGCCACGGAGAGATACACGCGAAGCTAAGGCGTGTCGGTGGGTCGCGGGTTACCGTCGAGCTGGTCGCGGTCGGCGGCGCTGACGGTGGCGTAGTACTGCATGGCGGACAGCGCGCCGCTCCACGCCACGGAGAGATACACGCGAAGCTAAGGCGTGTCGGTGGGTCGCGGGTTACCGTCGAGCTGGTCGCGGTCGGCGGCGCTGACGGTGGCGTAGTACTGCATGGCGGACAGCGCGCCGCTCCACGCCACGGAGAGATACACGCGAAGCTAAGGCGTGTCGGTGGGTCGCGGGTTACCGTCGAGCTGGTCGCGGTCGGCGGCGCTGACGGTGGCGTAGTACTGCATGGCGGACAGCGCGCCGCTCCACGCCACGGAGAGATACACGCGAAGCTAAGGCGTGTCGGTGGGTCGCGGGTTACCGTCGAGCTGGTCGCGGTCGGCGGCGCTGACGGTGGCGTAGTACTGCATGGCGGACAGCGCGCCGCTCCACGCCACGGAGAGATACACGCGAAGCTAAGGCGTGTCGGTGGGTCGCGGGTTACCGTCGAGCTGGTCGCGGTCGGCGGCGCTGACGGTGGCGTAGTACTGCATGGCGGACAGCGCGCCGCTCCACGCCACGGAGAGATACACGCGAAGCTAAGGCGTGTCGGTGGGTCGCGGGTTACCGTCGAGCTGGTCGCGGTCGGCGGCGCTGACGGTGGCGTAGTACTGCATGGCGGACAGCGCGCCGCTCCACGCCACGGAGAGATACACGCGAAGCTAAGGCGTGTCGGTGGGTCGCGGGTTACCGTCGAGCTGGTCGCGGTCGGCGGCGCTGACGGTGGCGTAGTACTGCATGGCGGACAGCGCGCCGCTCCACGCCACGGAGAGATACACGCGAAGCTAAGGCGTGTCGGTGGGTCGCGGGTTACCGTCGAGCTGGTCGCGGTCGGCGGCGCTGACGGTGGCGTAGTACTGCATGGCGGACAGCGCGCCGCTCCACGCCACGGAGAGATACACGCGAAGCTAAGGCGTGTCGGTGGGTCGCGGGTTACCGTCGAGCTGGTCGCGGTCGGCGGCGCTGACGGTGGCGTAGTACTGCATGGCGGACAGCGCGCCGCTCCACGCCACGGAGAGATACACGCGAAGCTAAGGCGTGTCGGTGGGTCGCGGGTTACCGTCGAGCTGGTCGCGGTCGGCGGCGCTGACGGTGGCGTAGTACTGCATGGCGGACAGCGCGCCGCTCCACGCCACGGAGAGATACACGCGAAGCTAAGGCGTGTCGGTGGGTCGCGGGTTACCGTCGAGCTGGTCGCGGTCGGCGGCGCTGACGGTGGCGTAGTACTGCATGGCGGACAGCGCGCCGCTCCACGCCACGGAGAGATACACGCGAAGCTAAGGCGTGTCGGTGGGTCGCGGGTTACCGTCGAGCTGGTCGCGGTCGGCGGCGCTGACGGTGGCGTAGTACTGCATGGCGGACAGCGCGCCGCTCCACGCCACGGAGAGA